GCGGGGGGCGCGGGAGGGGCCGGGATTCCCTGACTGGCCCCGCCCCGGGGGCCTGCTGCAGCTTACCCGGCTGAAGCGGGCACTGCGTCTCTGGCTTCTCGTGGTGATGGCATGGGAATGGCACGATCCCTCACCTTCCCCCCACCACCATGTTTTTTGTTGTTTTCATTGGTGGTGGTGGTACTGGGATTAGAACTCAGGGCCTCCAGCTGAAGCAAGTGCCATTTGAAACACCCTTTACCCCCCCCCACTCCCCTCTAACCCGTCACTCATTTTTACATTATTTTCAAAATTTAATTTATTTTTATTGTATTTTTTAATTTACTTTTTAATGTTTATTTTGGGGGGGGTGCGGTGCGGGTACCTGGGGGCTTGAACTCAGGGCCTTGCACTCTGGCTTCCAGGCCTTTTCTGCTCAAGGATGGCATTCTACCATGTAAGCCACACCTCCACTTCTGTTATTTTATTTTATTTTTGCTGGCTATAAGCTAGATCTAAAATACAATCAATCATGCATGATAACTATACAGGTTCAATGCATTTACACACAAACAAGCTGACTAAGGAGTGTGTGTAGGGGTAGGAGGGATGGATGAGAATGTTGAAAGGGGTGACGTTAATCAAGATGCACTGTACTGATTAGCTGCTTTGTTGAATGGCAACTCCTTTGTACAGCTACTTAAAACTAGTTAAAAAAAAATTTTTTTAAAATAGTGAGCAGGAGGTTGGGAATGTGGCTTCCTGGTAGAGTAGTTGTCTAGCATGCATGAAGCCCTGGGTTCATTTCCTCAGTACCATATAAACAGAAAAAGCTGGAAGTGGCACTGTGGCTCAAGTGGTAGAGAACTAGCCTTGAGCACAGAAAGGCTCAGGGACAGTGCCTAGGCCCTGAGTTCAAGCCCCAGGGTTGGAAAAAAAAAAAAAAAGCCAGTTGCCAGTGGCTCATGACTGTAATCCTAGCAACTCAGGAGGCTGAGATCTGAGGACTCAGGTTCAGAGGTAGCCAGGGCAGGAAAGTCCCTGAAACTCTTATCTCTTATCTGCAGTTAATCACAGAAAAAGCTGAAACTGGCACTGTGACTCAGTTGGTAGAGTGCTAGCCTTGAGCATAAAGAAGCTCCGGGACAATGTCCAGGCCTAGAATTCAAGGCCTAGGACCAGCATAAATCCATAGATACACACACACACACACACACACACATACATACACACATATATACATAAATGGAGGATATACTTAAGGAAAGAACCCAAAGGCATGAATCCTCTGAACAACTAATGAATACTAGGAAGTGAAAACATATTTGGGGGGAGGGGGGAAGGCAGGCAAAGAAGAGGGCACAAGAATGGAGGAAGGAAGGATGGGCAAATGTCATTATCTTCAGTGCACATTAAAGTAAAAGATCAACTATGGGGCTGGGAATGTAGCTCAGTGGTAGAGTACTTGCCTCTCATACATGAGGCCCTGGGTTCGATTCCTCAGTACCACATAAACAGAGAAAGTTGGAATCGGTGCTGTTTGCTCAAGTGGTAGAGTGCTAGCCTTGAGCTGAAGAGCTGAGGGGCAGCACCCAGGCCCAGAGTTCAAGATCCAGTACAGAAAAAAAACAAACCAACTATGTAACTTTAAGGTAGGAAGCAGAGGGGGAAAATGAGGAAGAAGGACCAATAAACATTGTACTCATAACTAAGGGAATTAGCCGGGTGCCAGTGGCTCACACCTGTAATCCTAGTTACTCAGGAGGCTGCGATCTGAGGATCAGGGTTCAAAGCCAGCCAGGACAGCAAAGTCCATGAGACTCTTATCTCCAATAAACCACTAGAAAACTGGAAGTGGGGGCTGGGTAGGTGGCTCAGTGGTAGAGTGCTTGCCTTGCATGCCTGAGGCCCTGGGTTCGATTCCTTTGCACCACATGAGCAAAAAGAAAAAAGCCAGAAGTGGCACTGTGGCTCAAGTGGTAGAGCAGCGCTAGCTTTGATCTGAAGAGCTGAGGGACAGCGCCCAAGCCCAGAGTTCAGGCCCCACAACTGGACACCCCCCAAAAAATAGAAAACCAGAAGTGGTGCTGTGGTTCAAGCGGTAGAGCGCTCGCCTTGAGCTGAAGAGCGCAGGGACAGCACCCAGGCCCAGAGTTCAAGCCCCACGACTGACAAAAAAAAATAACTAAGGGAATTTTAAGCTCTATATATAACAGCTTAATAATAAATAAAATAAATAGATAAAAGAGTTTCATGGACTTTTCTGTTCCATCTGGCTTCAAACCATACTTCTTGGATTTTAGCCTCTTGGTTTGCTAGTATTACAGGTGTGAGCCACAAACTACCAGTACCTATACCTCACTCCTTTTAAAAAGTAAATGAGGGCTGGGTGGGTGACTCAGTGGTAGAACGCTTGTCTTGCATGCATGAGGCCCTGGGTTCGATTCCTCAGCACCACATAAGCAGAAAAAGAAAGCCAGAAGTGGCGCTGTGGCTCAAGTAGTAGAGCACTAGCCTTGAGCTGAAGAGCTGAGGGGCGGCGCCCAGGCCCAGAGTTCAGGCCCACGACTGGACTCTTCCCCCCCCCCAAAAAAAATATAAAAAGTAAATGAGCTGGACATCAGTGGCTCACACCTATAATCCCAGCTTCTCAGGAGGCTGAGATCTGAGGATCATGGTTCGAAGCCAGCACAGGCAGAAAAGTCCCTGTGAGACTTTTTATTTCCAATTAACCACTCAAAGATCAAGTGGTGCTGTGGCTCAAGTAGTAGAGTGCTATAGCCTTGAGCATCAAGAGGACAGGGCCCATGCCTGAGTTCAAGCCCAACAACAACAACAAACAAACAAGTAGCTGGGAGTTGGTGGCTCACACCTATAATCATAGGCTCCTCTGGTGGCTGAGATCTGAGGCTGGTTCAAAGCCAGCCCAGGCAGAGAAGCTGTAAGACTCTTACCTCCAATTAAGCACCAAACGGCCAGAAATGGAGCTGTGGTCCAAATGGTAAAGCATTAGCTTTAAACACAAAAGTTCAGGAACAGCACCTAGGTCCTGACTTCAAGCTCCAGGACCAGTATAACAACAACAACAACAAAGACTTTGAAATTAAATTCAAAACATCCTGTTACTCTACTCCTTAGATGTGGAAATTGGGATGCAGGAAATCCTAAATGTTAGTAGTAAAAGAGGCAGATTTTGTAGTATTTGTCCAACTACATGTAGCAATATACTTACCAAGACCTACAGGTAAAGGGGTAATGTGGTGGGGGGGGTGGGGGGGCACGCATAGCACTGGAGCTGGAACTTGGGAATTCTTTTTTTCTCTCTCTCTACCTTTTCCACTCAAGACTGGTGCTCTACTACTTGAGTCACACCTTTCCTTCTGGCTTTTTGTTGCTAAATTGAAGATAAGAATCTCAGTTTCGCCGGGTGCTGGTGGCTCACGCTTGTATCCTAGCTACTCAGGAGGCTGAGATCTGAGGATCCCGGTTCAAAGCTAGCCCGGGCAGGAAAGACCGTGAGACTCCTGTCTCCAATAAACCACCAGAAAACCGGAAGTGGCGCTGTAGCTCAAGTGGTAGAGTGCTCGCCTTGAACTGAAGAGCTGAGGGACAGCGCCCAGGCCCAGAGTTCAAGCCCCACGACCGACAAAAAAAAAGAATCTCAGTTTTGCCAGCACTGGTGGCTCATGCCTATAATCCTAGCTATTCAGGAGGCTGAGATCTGAGGATCACGGTTCAAAGCCAGCCCCAGCAGGAAAGTCTGTGAGACTTTTATCTTCAATAAACCACTAGAAAACTGGAAGTGGTGCTGTGGCTCAGGTGATAGAGCACTTGCCTTGAGCTGAAGAGCTAAGGGACAGTGCCCAAGACCAGAGTTCAAGCCCCAAGACTAAAAAAAAAAAAAAAAAATCTCAGTCTTGGGGCTGGGAAGTTGGCTCCGTGGTAGAGTGCTTGCCTTGTATGCATGAGGCCCTGAGTTCAATTCCTCAGCACCACATAACCAGAAAAAAAACGGAAATGGCATTGTGGCTAGCCTTGAGCTGAAGAGCTGAGGGACAACACCCAGACCTAGAGTTCAGGCCCCACAACCAACAACAAAATAAAAAGAATCTCAGTCTTGGCTGGGAATGTGGCTCAGTGGTAGAGTGCCTGCCTAGCATACATGAAGTTCTGGGTTCAATTCCTCAGTACCACATAAACAGAAAAGGTTGGAAGTGGTGCTGTGGCTCAAGTGATAGACTGCCAGCCTTGAGCACAGAGAGGCTCTCAGGGATAGTGCCAAGGCCCCAAGTTCAAACCCCAGGACCAGCAAAAAAAAAAAAAAATGCACATTGCCACTTGAGCCACAGTGCCACTTCCTGTTTTCTGGTGGTTAACTGGAGATAAGAATGTCACGGACTTTCCTGGCTGGGCTGGCTTTGAACCACGATTCTTAGGTCTCAGCCTAAGTAGCTAGGATTACAGGTATAAGCCACCAGTGCCCAGCTTCACTCCCAGTTTTCTGCTGGTTAATTAGAGATAAGAGTCTCAGGGACTTTCGTGCCTGGAATGGCTTTGAATGGTGATTCTCAGCTCTCAGCATCTTCACAACTAGGGTAACAGGTGTGAGTTACCATTACTCAGCCATTTTCTCTTCTTTTTGGCAACCCCCACACACACAACATTTTCCCCCCAACCAGGTCTGGGACTTGAACTCAGGGCCTGTGCACTATCCCTGAGCTTCTTTGGCTCAAAGCTAGTACTCTACCACTTGAGCTTTTTCTGTTTCTGTGGTACTGAGGAGTCAAACCCAGGACTTCATGCATGCTAGGCAAGCACTCTACCACTAAGCCACATTCACAGGCCCTCTGCAACATTTTCAAGGGTGACTCTTAGCCAGAGCAGAATCTACCAGGAATGAGGAAGTTTTGTTTTGTTTCTTCTGCCAGGGGCCATTTGTGTATTTATAACATCATTATGGGCCATATAGGCATATGGCAAGAATAAGAGAAACATAGGAGTCCATACCATCATGTACCAAATGATTTCTTGGGCCTTATACAGCTGCAACCCAGATGTTCATCATCTCTGAAAGTCTGCGTCAGCCTTCACTCCCAAGCTCAGAAGGAGACTGAGTCTAATTAATTTTCTGTCAAATGGAACAACTCGGGAGTATATTAAAAAATCCTCAGCTAGGTGCCAGTGTGTCATGCCTCTAATCTTGGCTCCTCAGGAGTATGAGAATTGTGATTAAGAAGCTAGATAGGCAGAAAAATCTATGAGACTCTTCACAATTAACCAGCAAAAATCTGTTCAGTAGAGCTGTGGCTCAAGTGGTAGAATGACAGACAGCCTTGAGCAGAAAAAGCTAAGTGAAAGTGTGAAGACTTGAGTTCAACCCCAGTACTGGCACACACACACACATACCCCTCACATTGTTTCATGAGGAAGAGATGAGGATGGAGCTCTAATTGGGGAAACTGGGGCTCAAAGGTATCCTGTTATTTGCTGGTATTTGGTCTTGTTTACAGCTTTCTCCTCACCCTTACGGTCCCTGCTTAAGCTCAAGAAAATTTCCAACCACTCTTTTTTTTTGGGGGGGGGGTCCGGTTGTGGGGCCTGAACTCTGGGCCTGGGCACTGTCCCTCAGCTCTTCAGCTCAAGGCTAGCACTCTACCACTTGAGCCACAGCGCCACTTCCAGCTTTTTTCTTTTTGCTTATGTGGTGCTGAGGAATCGAACCCAGGGCCTCAAGCATGCGAAGCAAGCACTCTACCACTGAGCCACCTTCCCAGCCCCCTAACCACTCTTAAGGTTAGGCAAAAAGTAAAACAAGGCAACCTTGCCTTCTTTGTATGTTTATTCTTTTTTTTTTTTTCCAGAGCTGAGGACCGAACTCAGGGCCTTGCCTTAGCCAGGCAGGTGCTCTTCCGCTGAGCTAAACCCCCAGCCCCTGTTTATTCTTTATCTCTGTTAAAACCCATCCACACCATTTAGCCAGGGAGCTGCCTCCCTCTCCCAAACCCACTCCTCTGTTCCCCTTGCAGACCCATTTCCCTCTCCCCCAAACATTCTCAACTTGGCTTCTCCCAACCCTCCCCTCACTTCCCAGACCCTGCTGCTTGGCGTGGAGTCCTCCACTGAAGGAATGTTTAGATCCTCCCCTTCTCTGCCTCAGCCACTTGACATGCCTACTTCTTCATGTCTAGAGTCTGGGGGACAGTAGTGGGTGCCTGGAGTAATGTTTGTTGAATGACTATGGGCACATTAATTCACACTAAAGTGTAAATATGAAAGCCACCGGCCTAGGCAACAGCAGTCCTATTATTATAGCAGTGTAACACAGGTAGTGCATTACATCTCCTACGGGCATTTGTCGTATGTAGCCTTCCATCTGTGGGCCCTGAGACTTAAAAGAGTGCTCACAGCCCCTTGCTGCCCCGCGTTACTGAGGCAGGATTGAGACCCGGCATGGCTCAGAGGCTGGCAGCACCTGCACCGACCCCACTCCGCAGCGGCCGCAGGTGCCGGGGATCCGGGCGTGCCCGGCTGCGGGGACCCCGCTTTCAGCCACTTGAGGGTACAGTCGAAGGCTTCCATTTACTCTGGAACCGAGCCGCCCGCCAACGGGATCTTAGGGCTCAGGATTTCTCGGAGCACGGGTGAGGAAGGTCAAGGGGGACAAGAGTAGAAGTCGAGGTCAAAGGGGCGGCCTGGGGGGGTCCGGCCCGGCGATGCCCGGCCCGCGCGCGGAGCGGGGCG